GATGCCCCGGGATGTCCCGCTCACTTGAGCGAGCCGCAGTACGCGATTCTGCTCTTCACATCGTGCTGCTTGGTGCGTAACCTGTCGCATATGCGGAGAAGATGTCCCTGTCCGGTTTCGCTGATATCTCCGTGTAGGTATGCGGCCAGACAGATGTCGGGTGGACGCTATGGGCGTTCTATAGGCGCTACTGTCGGTCTTGTTTCAAAACTTGGTAGGTGGATGGCGGGACCTCCGGTACTCCGATACTCACGGGACTCGTCAAGTTCCGATGTAGTACAGCGAGAGGCCATAGACTATCTTCTGCATGAGGTCTTGGACGTCACGGGATGCGACGCTGGATATCTGAGGGACACAACCATGTTTCACCAGTGAGCTGCATGGTCCTCGTATAGTCAGGTCAAGTGCTAAGACATCTTCCTAGGGGCCACATTCGAAAGCAATACTTCGACCGTGCGGACGCAGTGAGCTTCAAATCACTGTGGAAACGCTGCAAGACGAAGCAGGACAAGGATAACCTGGTCAAGGAGAGGCAAGACAGCGTCTTGCAATGGCGCAAGGTATGGCTTGACCCACCTCTTTCCCGCCTCTGTAGTGACGCTACTTCAGGAGATTGCGTCTATCATCGCTTGGGGACACGAAGACACCAAACGGCAAACGGCCAGGATGGATGCTCTACGACGAGAGCGCAGGGACGAGTGCGTTCATTCATCCTCGCTGCTGTTGAACGCTAATGTGACTGACCCTGCGGACACGCACAGCATATACAATCGGCTGAAAGCGGCAGGCTGGGGCCTAGAGCTGGAGGAGCTCCAATGGAACGTCCACTGTGCGACTGCTGAAGTTTGCTGCAAGGCCAAAGTCTTCACGGACGACGGTAGGCGATGCATGCTTCGGCGAGCGCGGCGCCCTGACGAGCATTCCCTGTCAGAATGGGATGACGTCCTAGCGCACTTCGTGCCCTGCCTGGAAGCGATACGCACGAAACGCGTCAAGGACGAAAGGTACAAGACGATACTACGGAGGCTGCAGACGATGCGTAGCCTCCTGCAGAACGCTTCGCCTGGGCCGCGAGACGCGACATCTGACTTGTGCGCCCAGTTTGGGGACCTCGCGATCGTGCCGTCCTTCCGGGAACTGCTATGCGCACCCGTCTCCACCGATGTCTCTGATGCTGTCATCTCCCCTCTACTTGCAGAGCTCCCGGCACTGCAATCGGCTTGGTATCAAGAACGCCAGCGTGAGTTCGAGACCCTCGCTCTGACGAAAGAGAGCTGCCCCAAAGTAGAGAACCCTCTCTCCCTTGCTATCGTCAGCTTCTACTGCGTCGACTGCAGGCGCGAGAACCTCCGATGGCCTGACGTCCTCGCGCACCGGTGCGGGCGGAACGGATCCTTCGACTGCCCGCAGGACGACGAGGCTTTCCGGAACGCTTTGTGGTCCGTTTGTTGCAAGTCTACTATGCCTTGGCGGCGACACGCGCCGTTCGTCGCCACGATCGCACCCTCGGCCGTCCAAGAGAAGATCCGCCTGTGCGGCTTTGACCCTAAGCGGGTCACGTACGAGGAATTGCAGAAGTGTGGCAAAAGGCTGTACTGCACGATCTGCTCGGTACCGTCCATCGGGTACATGGAGGTGTTCGACTGGAAGAACGCGGTGCGTGCTCGCATCCTCCGGCGCTGGGCAGCGCGCAGTGCGCACTACTGTACATGTCTGACTTGTGCGCCGACGCAGGGCACTCATTTACGCCCTATATGCGACGTTAGTCAGCCGTTCGGGCCATCTTGGAGGGTTAAGGAGAAGAAATGGAGGGTCCTCGACGACGAGAACTCTGCGCTGGTCGTCGCCGCAGATGTCGCTCGTCAGCAGGCGGGCGACGTGCCAAGACCCATATTCGGCTGCACGCGATGTTACTACCGTAGCAGAGGGTTCCCAGAAGAGCACTGCAAAAAGTATGTCTCGTTTATCCTTGTTCAACCGCACGAGCGCACATACTGAAGACTCCGTGCACAGGGTACACGGTATCAGACGTCCGAAAATCGGCCAAGACTTCTATCTGCACTGCGAATCTGGTGCGGAGACCTATCCCATCACGGTCTATCCTATGGATGCTCGTAGGGATCGTGTGGCGGCCAAGGACGTAAAGGACGGCTGCGCGGTCTTCTCACCTTCCCTCTTTTGTGCGTGATACCCATGCACCGCGGCTATCCTCGTGGCCCAATGGGGACGCATGCATCGGCGTGCCGTTGAATGCATATGGGCATCGCGTTGGTATCGTCGAAATCCGCATACATGCGACGCTGGCGACGTATCCCTACATCTGTTCTCCATAGTAGCATGGTGGTATACACTTGCCCCGATGCTATGGCGATGTACATACATGCAGCACGGATGACGACCAAATGAATGCTAATGAATGCTCAGCCCTCAAGACGCGAGCGACAGGCCATCCGGCGAACTTCGCTATGAAATATACGTATAGATGTGAAGTACTTGGAAGGGCCATACCACGCTCGCCGCCATGTTTGGAGCGTATCAGTCGTGTGCACTGATCGAGGATGTCGAGGGCGGACGAGCATCCTTTTCGCCGTCCCTCTTCTCTGCGTCATAGACTGTATGCGGCGTGCACTGGCCCATCCCTTCGCATCTACCCCAACTACTTATGGTTGCTATCCTACTGGTATCTTCGGGTACAATAAATACCAACATGTCTACTAGCCTACATGGAACGAATCCTACCCTTGGTTGGGGACTCATCTCATATCGGTGTGCAACAGTATGACACTTACCGTGTTGGCCTTAGAGTTCCCGCTAAGGGGCTGTGCCTGCGGGGTAACAGAGCAGATACGGCTCTCTGAGTTGTATGCCGTTCTAGTCCGACTGGAGACTCGCGAGCTGTGAGTCGGACTCGGGAGGCACCGCGGCGCACGTGACAGCGCGATCGCGACGCGTCGTGGGTTTCCCCATCGCGCGCCGTCGCCGTCGCGCACCGGCACAGCGGACATCCATGTAGCCATAGCTCCGGCAGGCACAGTCGCATCGTGACATCCCTCTCGCCCTTGTACCACCATCTGCGCTGTCGGGACACCCTCCCTTTTGGTGCCCTCCATCACCATGCTCACCGACCGCGCCCTCGAAGTCGGCTACAAGCTCCTAGACAAGGTAGCGCCGATGTATCTCTGACGTCGCTCGCTGCGTCTCACGGTGCTGGCAACTCCTAGGGTCTCGTACCGGACGTTATCCTCAGGCCGGTCATCCGCGCGCTATGCCGCCAGCGCCTAAGAGAGATAGACTTGGGGTCTTTTGAAGCCAACTATGAGGCCAAGATGAAGTGGATCCAGGGCGTTCGTGAGCGTACCAAGATCGCGGACCTGACGGAGAAGGCGAACGAGCAGCATTATGAGGCGCGTCGCGTGCGGCACGGGCGAACACAACAGAACTAACCAAAGGTCGTTAGGTCTCGACGTCGTTCATGCTCTCGTGCCTGGGCCCCTATGCGAAATACTCATGTTGTCTCTACCCAACCGGCAAGGAGACACTTGAGGAGGCCGAGGTGCTCATGCTAGAGAGCTACTGTGAGAAAGCGCAGCTGAGGGATGGGCTCGAGATTCTCGACCTCGGGTGTGGTGCGAACGGTCCCTCGTCGATAGTACGCTGCAGCTAACCTCACGCGCGTTAGGCTGGGGTAGCTTGTCTCTGTACCTTGGTCAAGTGGGTTGACATCGTATTATGCTAGTGCCCGTCCTCTCATTTCATGTTTAACCCCAGAAATACCCGAAGTCAAAGATCATCGGACTGTCCAACTCTTCTACTCAGAAGACCTACATAGAGAGCGCCGCGAAAGCTCGGGGGCTAACCAATATCGAAGTACTCACTCATAAGACACCGGGTTGATGCATGAGGACTAATCATAGTCTCAGATCATCACTGCGGACGTGAATACCCATGACTTCCACGGGACGCGACAGTACGTTGTATGTGCCGTAGAGTAAACGTGCCATTTGGCTGACGAGTGTGCACTAGCTTTGATCGCATTCTGTCCATTGAGGTACGCGTGACCACCCTGTCGTTCGTTCGTGCGACATGCTGAACCTGCCCGGCGCAGATGTTCGAACACATGAAGAACTACAAGTTGCTGATGGCGAAGGTGGCTTCGTGGTTGCGCCCCAACAGCCCTGACGAGTCCCTGTTCTTTGTACACATCTTTTGCCACAAGACGACGCCGTATCACTTCGAGGAGGGTGATGGCTGGATGGCACAGACGTTCTTCTCTGGTATGTAGCTCGCTCTCCGAATCCCGCCCGCGACAGACCCTGATGCATGACATTGTAGGCGGGACGATGCCCTCCCACGACCTCTTAGTGCGTTTGCGTCCTGCCTATTCTCTCAACAGAAATTCCTGACACTCTCCGCAGCTCTACTTCCAGGATGACTTGACGCACATCCGCAGTTGGTACCTCAGCGGCAAGCACTACGGAAGGACGAGCGAAGACTGGCTACGCCGTCAGGACGCAAATGCGAAAGCAGGACTTGCGGAACTGGAGAAGGACGCAGTCGCCAAGGGGCTCGACAAAGAAGAAGGTCGCAAAGCGTTCTACCGGTATGTCGTTCGCTCACGCGAAATGTGTATCGTGATATTGAATCAAGCTGGGATAGCTTCCGCGTCTTCTACCTCGCAGTTGCAGAATTCTTCGCTCTGAACGGCGGGCAAGAGTAAGTGGTGGTTTGTTATGATTATCGTTCGGCTGCTTATTGTCAAATACGCGCATAGGTGGGGAGTAGGGCACTACCTGTTCAAGCGTAAATCGTGACAATACATGCTTCGACTACGTTCCACTGTGTTTAGACATCAGTCGTTAGAGGTATCACTTGCGATACGCACTTGAGACGGAAGGGTTGAACGTCCTACCAGTACTGCATGAATGCGCAAGTATGCGTCTTCTGCCCCAGCGATGGATATGGGTCGGTGGGGGGATGGGAGCAGCACAAAAAGCAACACTAGCCCACCGCGAGGGTCGAACTCGCAGCCTTCAGATCACCCGCGTAAGAGTCTGACGCTCTATCCGATTGAGCTAGGCGGGCGATGTTTAGGCGAAGCCCGATGCTATTACAACCAAATATCTCTGTACCTTCGAGACTCGCTATGCACTGTCGACTCGTCTTCCATGGCCATAGCGCAGGAGGTTTCCAGATAGCAGCGCTCACCACCACAACGTGCACATCCAGACATACTTGTTCGTGAACTGCACACACCCCGTATCACCTGGTACGATTACAGTGTCCACTGGCGTGCCCCTGGCGGCGGCAGATCTAGAGTGAAGGCACCATGTCACGTACAACCTGAAGTCTGAAGTACTGACAGCGTTTCGTAAACGAGTCTGTCATACGCACACCAAACGACATATCGCACCACCGAACGGCGGCCGAAATGTCCACAGTGCACATAGTGCACCGCGCACTCTCGCTGCAGGTATAGAATGGTCGATCTGAGGCTGACGATGCTTACGCCTTTCGTATGACGAGGCGCTCACCTTGTATAGACGTTGCGCGTTGGCCCGTGCTTGGGATCTCACTAAGCAGCCTCGGCCACCCCTTGCCTCGACAGGCTGGAATGCTGTTCGGCCATTCGGTACTGGGCGCAAGCGCTGAATTTGAGTATGGAGTTTGCAAGGACTTTGCAGTTAAGAGAACGGGAGCGTGTCACGGAGGCTGCGCGCGCGCAGGGACGGTCTGGGACGATGTGCGCTGAGCTGAGAGAGGTGCGAAGCTCGGAGAGGTGATTGCGCAAGATAGGTCTGACGAGAACGTCATCGTAGTGCGCGAGCGAGAGACAACGTTCGAGGTGCTCGATCGGAGGCTTCTGCGGGAATGCATATATAGCACTATCTCACACTTAGAGAGTTAGCACAGTACCTACCCCGAATCACCTCCCGGCACAGCAAGCTTGACATGTCTGCTACCACCAGTACCATCAAGGCTACCATCACCGTCATCGGTGCTACGGGCCAACTAGGTATGAGAACCTTTGCTCTTCGTGCTACAGGCAAGAGCTAACTTCGCGCTGCACAGGCGAGTCGATCACTACCGTGCTGCTCACGGACTTCCGCCAGAACTTCCCGACCGTCCGCGCGCTCACCCGCGACCCTACGTCCGCAAAGGCACAGGAGCTCGCGAAGAAGGGCGCAGAGGTCGTGAAGCTGGACTACGCTCATGTTAGCGACGCCCTGGCCGGATCCGACGTCATTGTCAACGTCCTCCCCACCTCTGTCGCTGCCGAAGACCGGAGGAAGGTCGACAACGCCGCAATCAACAGCGGCGCAAAGGTGTACTTCCTGAGCCACTTCGGACTGTAAGTACTGTCTGAGAGTAGGTTTGAGTGACGAGACACTAACCGTATGGCCCCAGCGACCCGAAACTTGTCCACTTCGATGGGTACCTGCACCAGGAATGGGCGAGCAAGCTGCAGCTCGAGGCGGAGGCCCGCAAGGCGGCCCAGGACAAACTCAAGATCATCAGCGTGTACAACAGCATCTTCCTTGACATTGTGTTGTCTCCCTTCAGTGCGTCTTGAGGCCGAAGATCGTCGCACTGCGAGTCCCTGACGTACCTGCTCTTAGTTGGCTTCGACCTTGAGAAGAACGTCTACACCCCGTACGGGTCGGCTAGCGCGAAGTTCGCGACAACTTCCAAGGCGGACATCGGTCGCGCTGTCGCCAGTCTGTCCCTGCTAGCCCTCGATCCGTCGTCGGCGGCAAGCGTCCCAGACGAGGTTCGGATCGCGGGGTCTATCGTCAGCTTCGAAGACGTCCGCGACATCGTTGCGCGAGTCAAGGGGGTCGCACCAGGAGAGATCAAGAGCGAGGACGCCGAGAAAGTCAAGAACCAGCTTCGTGAGCAGAAAGGGGACGGAAGCATCCTGGACTACCTGCGGTGCGTATTCCGAGCACCATAGCTGTAGAGGGAATCATAGACTAATGCCGAGCTGACATAGGGTGGCGTTGGGCGAAGGCTGGCTTAACCTTTCCCCGAACGAGAACGAGCTGGTCAACCCAGGGCAGAAGCTGTGGAAGTGGAAGACTGTGGAGGATCAGATCCGCGGGCTGTGAGCAACAAGGCGGTCGTCGCTCACCGGCACATGTTGTCTCGATTGTAAACTAGGCCATTCTTGAGCAGTATATATACCGTTGGGGACCGCTGTATGAGTTGACGCATTACATTCGCATGAAGTTGTCTGTTGCTCCAGCTGGTTCTCGACGCGTAATGCGTTTATTGTCGGATTTGTCGGTCTCCGCACTATCCGGAGAACCACTACACGCAGTACCCAGGCAGAAGCAGTCCATCTCGGCGGTCAGAACATACTGCGGGGAGAGCTAGAGCTCGAGGAGGTATTGGTAAGAAAGCAGGATGTCCGACCCGGGAAATAGCGCCGCGAGGACGCGTAGCCGGCTATGATGCGTTCATGAACAGCCTCTCCGCGCGGCCGTCTCAACATCTTTGTGTCTCTTCTCTCAGCATGCCGTCTCTCGCCCTCGCCCGCGCGGCGAACGCCGCGTTCTCACCTGCATATTTTCCTGTGGCAGTATTTGTCGGCGGCACCTCGGGCATCGGCAGGGCCACCGCGGAGGCCTTCGCGCGTTACACCAAAGGTAACGCGCACATCGTCATAGTCGGCCGCAACAAATCAGCCGCAGACTCCGTAATCGCGTCCTTCCCCAAACCCACCGCGCCCGAGGCGAAGCATGAGTTCGTCTCGTGCGACGTCTCGCTCATGAAGAACATCCAGGCGACGACTTCTTCGCTACTCACGCGCCTGCCGAAGCTGAACTTCCTGGTGCTCTCACCCGGTCTCTTCAACTTCAGGGGCAGGGACGATACTGAGGAGGGAATCGACCGTCGCCTGGGTCTGCACTACTACGCGCGGTGGAAGTTCATCTATGACCTCCTCCCGCTACTCCATAAGGCAAAGGACGCCGGCGAAGACGCGAAGGTCATGTCCGTGCTCGCGCCGGGTTCCGGACGACCGATAGACATGAACGACCTCGGTCTCAAGAAGGCGTATTCGTTCCCGAAGGCAGGCGTAACCTCTCCTACCTACACCGACTTAATGATGGAGGTACGCATGAATCACCCACCCGTGGGCCCCTTTCCCGCACAATCTCGCTCACCGGCAGTGTGCAGTCTTATGCTGAGCAGAATCCCGGCATCTCCTTCATCCACATCCATCCTGGTGTCGTCCGCACGCCTATCCTGCAAGCCTCGCAGCCAGTTCTGCGCCTGCTGAACCCGCTCGTCTACGCGCTCGCGTACCCCTTTTCAACCTCCCCCGAAGACTGCGCGGAGTTCATGCTCTATGGCCTACTCCAGAGTGGCCCAGGCCTCTCTCGTCGGGATAGCAAGGGAGAGGATATGGGTCGGACGCGCTTCTACGGCTCTGAGGAAGAAAAGAAGGCGGTCTGGGAACATACCAAGGAGGAGATTGAGCGCGCCCTCGCCGTCCCGGCGAAGTCGCCGTAATATCCCTCCCATCCCTTCCACGCCTTGGTGGACATTCATTGAGGATTGCCCTGTACTATAGTTCTGGATCTACCCCACCTCGGTGCATCTGCCTATACGCGATACTGTACAATATCACCGTTGTAATCCCAGTTCTGCGCTCAAAGGATCGTCTCTAATGTCTTCAACGTGGGTTGCGGGCAGAGGCCGTGCCAGACTGCCAGTAGTGCGTTCCCGCAAAGTTCAAAGCCATTCAATGTAAGGACGATCTGGTGGTGCACTGTTGAGACCTGCTCAGAAGGGGGAAAAACACTAGCCCACCGCGAGGGTCGAACTCGCAGCCTTCAGATCACCCGCTAGTAAGAGTCTGACGCTCTATCCGATTGAGCTAGGCGGGCGATGTAAAGAGCTACATTGTATGTATGCTGTACTGAAAGCGTTTTGTAGCTGAGAGGTCGAAAATCACCGGCAAGAAAGATGAAATAGAGGACATATGCACGTATGGACGAGGTAGACTAACTCTTCTTCTTCCTCTTGCTCTTCTTCTCTTGCGAGGCGTTCGCGCCCTCAGCGCCCTGCTCCTGAGCCTTGCTCTCCCTCCGCTTCCGCTTCTTCTCCTTGCGCGCTTCCTCCTCCGCTGCCTCGCGAGCCCTCCGTTCGGCCGCCTCCGCCTCGTCGCCCATACGGCCGAGCTTCTGGAACGGCCCCTCCTCCTCGCTGTCCACCACATCCTCCATCATCTCCAGTAGGTCCCGTTCGCGTGCGGCCGCCGGGTCGGGACGCCCTGCAGGACGCCCTGACTTCCCGCTAGAGGTCGCGGTCGTGGTAGCGGCTTTAGGGACGTGCTCTGGTGAGAAGGGATCCGGCTGTATCGACCCGACTAATGAGAGCATCTGGTTCGCGATGGTCAAACTAACGACGCGCTGTGAGCTGAGATAAATCGGAGAATGAGCTGAGAGACGAACCCAACGACCGTGAACTCCAGGTAGCCATCTGCGTCCCCGAGCTTGGTCTCGGTGAGCTTGTGCACCCATCGGCCGGCGCTCTCGCTTTGCCCATCAGCACCTTCAGCACCCTCTGCGTTCGCAGTGGTGTTTGCGGTAGCCTCGGCGGCGGCTCCCCCCGCGCCAAACTCGGGGTCGTTCTCCGCCGGACCGTATTCAAACTCGTATAGGTCGGTTGTGATGTGATGTCGAGGTATCGAGACGTTAAACGTGCGGTGTACGAGTAACGATATGTGGTCCGGCGAAGAGAGGTTGATTTTGCCCACTGGCCACGCCAATTTGATCAGTATCCCCAGGCTGCTATACGGAAAGCCGGACTATTCACCTAGCTTCATGCCGACTTGTGGGCTCCATACCGTCGCGTCAAACGCGACTTTGCATATCGCAAACGGACAGTCGGCTTTGATAGTCGCGACACTGTCCAGGAACTGCAACCGGTCGTGCGCGAGGACCACGCCCTGCAATGCGGGGATATAACTACACGCCCAGACGCAAGCACGGCACGCGCATCGAACTTCACATTCACTCAACCGCTTACGACCTCACAGAGCCGGCCGTACATACCTCATCAGCATCGAGTCTAGC